CCCCCCCCCCCAGGTGAGCTACATGGAGATCTACTGCGAGCGGGTGCGGGATCTGCTGAACCCCAAGAGCCGGGGGCACCTGCGGGTGCGGGAGCACCCCATCATGGGCCCCTACGTGGAGGACCTGTCCAAGCTGGCCGTCACCTCCTTCGCCGACATCGCCGACCTCATGGACTGCGGGAACAAGGCCAGGTGAGAGCCCCCCGCCCCCGGCCTGGGAGAACCCAGGAGTCCTGGCTCATCAGGAGAGGAGGCTGGGGGGTCAGAGCAGGAGGGCTGGGAGCCAGGACTCCTGGGTTCTCTCCCCGGCTCTGGGAGGGCAGTGGGAGCTGGTGGGTTAGAGCAGGGGGGGCTGGGAGCCAGGACTCCTGGGTTCTCTCCCCGGCTGTGGGAGGGGAGTGGGGGGGCTGGGAGCCAGGACTCCTGGGTTCTCACCCCCGTCTCTCGCCCCACCCAGGACCGTGGCCGCCACCAACATGAACGAAAGCAGCAGCCGCTCGCACGCCGTGTTCACCATCGTCTTCACGCAGAGGAGACACGACTACCTGACCGACCTCGACACCGAGAAGGTAACGGGGCGGCGAGGGGGGTGGGGGTCAGGGCACCGGTGGGGCCGGTTCAGCCTGGCTGGGAGTGGGCGGGGCCAGGCGTGGGTCGAGTTGCCTGGTTCTCAGCGAGGGCCGGGGGGGGTGTGTACAAAGCCCCTGCCAGCCCCCCTGCCCCCCCCCCCCCCCCCTTCCCCCCCCCCCAGGTCAGCAAAATCAGCCTGGTGGATCTGGCTGGCAGCGAGCGAGCGGAGTCGTCCGGTGCCAAGGGCATGAGGTTAAAGGTGAGGGGGGCCCCCCAGATCCGTGACAGGCCCCCCAGAAGCTGCTGCCCCTTTGGGGGGCAGGGGGCAGGAACGGAGCGTCGGCCGCGGGGCTCTGGGATCGGGGATAGGGCCAAGCCCCCTCACAGTTCAACAGGATCCGGGGAGCTAAGACCCCCCCCCACAATTGGGGGGGTCTCCTGAGGGGGCCGGCTGACCGCGGCCCCATGGGTACGAACGCGGCTGGAGCAGGCGGTCCTGGTGCGGGCGTCTCGGACGGGGGAGGGTCTCTATAACCCCCCCCAACGCGTTCTCCCCTCCGCAGGAAGGTGCGAACATCAACAAATCCCTCACCACGCTGGGGAAGGTGATCTCCGCCCTGGCCGAGATGGTGAGTGCCAGGGGCGGGGGGATCACAGGCCCCCCCCCCCCGCCCCCTAAGTGACTGACTTCGGGGTCCCTGTAGTGCCAGGCCCTGGGGGTCGAGCTAGGACCGGGGCCCCATCGCGCCGGGAGCTGCCCCACAAGTCCCCACCCAGCCAGACCCCTGGGAGCACCCCGTCCCCTCGGCTGGGACCCAGGCGCCCAATCTTGGGGTTCTCGGTCCCCCGTGCAGCCCCCAGGTTAGCACGGAGACACCCCCACCCAGCCGAGCTGCCGGGGTTCCCCGTCTTGTCTCGGGGGTGCCACCAGTCCCGGGGAGAGCGGGCGTCGGGGGGTGGGGGGGTGTCTCGCCTCCCAGCCAATGTCGCACCGAGGGGAAACTTAGGCAGGCGTCGGCCTCGCCAAGAGAGAGTACAGATAATCCCCGTTGGGTCGCGTTGGGGGCGTCACCCCTTCCCCAGCAGGGCCCCCTGTGTTCTCACCCCCCCCCCTTATTCCCTCACCAGCAAAACACCAAGAAGAAGAAATCCGATTTCATCCCTTACCGTGACTCGGTGCTCACCTGGCTACTCAAGGAGAACCTGGGTAAGCCCCCCCCGCCCTCCCCGATCCCTCAGCAGTGGCGGGGTGCACTGTGTGTGTGTGTGGGGGGGCACAGGACAATTGCGCTCGGGGGGGAAGGGTGTGGCTGCCGGGGGGAATGGGGGGAGAAGGAGGGTGTCCCTTGGGGGTGTATGAGATAATTGGGTTGGGGGGGCTGGCTAATTAACCTCCCCACTGCCCCCCCCAGGCGGTAACTCCCGCACTGCCATGATCGCCGCCCTCAGCCCGGCTGACATCAGCTACGAGGAGACACTCAGCACGCTCCGGTGAGCACCGCGGACGCCAGGGGGCGGAGAGGGAGAGGGACGGATGGCAAGGGGTGGGGATGTGGGGCAGAGGAGGGGGCTGGGCACATGTCGGGGAGGGGGCTGCTCCCTGATCCAGGGGCGCTGACTATTCCCCCCCCCCCCCCCCCCAGCTATGCAGACCGGACCAAGCAGATCCGGTGCAACGCGGTGATCAACGAGGACCCCAACGCCCGGCTCATCCGGGAGCTGAAGGAGGAGGTGGCCCGGCTGAGGGAGCTGCTCTTCACCCAGGGCCTCTCCGACGCCCCCCTCCTCGGCGGTGAGTGTCCCGCCCCACGCACACATGGGGCAGAGTTAAGGGGATTTGGTGGGAGGGGACGTACACTAAACACTGGTGGTTTGAATGGGGAGAGGGACTGGGTGGGGTTTTTAAAGGGGGGTCTGCCCCCCCAAACGCACCCCGTTGCGCAGCGCTCCGGGCAGAGGGTGGGTCGCATGGGGACAGGCCAGGTCAAGGCCGTGGGTTACATGGGGGTTTCCCAGGGGGCTGTAGGGGAAGTGGACATGAAGAGGGGGCGCAGGGGGAGCTGTGAGCGTGCCCAGCCCCCCCCAACCTCAACGCTCTGTTCCAGGCTTGAAGGGGGAGGAGCCCGACAGCCGCCCCCCAGCGCCCCCACGGCCCTTCGACCCCACGACTGAGCCCCGGCCCCCCGCCCCCCTCAACGGGGGATCCGAGCCCTTCCCCGCCCTGGAGGAGCAGGACATCTGCACGGAGGAGGCTATGGAGAGGCTGCAGGTAGGGGACGTAACTGCCCCCCCCCACCTTGAACAATTCCCTCGCCAGCCCCCCATCCTGGCCTCGGGAGGCCAGCCCCCCTGCTCTAACCCATCAACCAGCCCCCACTCCCCTCCCAGAGCCAGGGAGAGAACCCAGGAGTCCGGGCTCCCAGCCCCCTCGCTCTGACCCACCAGCCCCCACTCCCCTCCCAGCGCCGGGGAGAGAACCCAGGAGTCCTGGCTCCCAGCCCCTCCCGCCTTGAGGTCTCAGGCAGTCTCCCCACGAGCACCCCAGTTTCCTGCTCTGGGCAGGGGGTGGAAGGGGAGGGGTGGAGGGACCTGGGGGAGAGACGGGGCCCCGTGTGCTGGGGGCAACCTGAGCCCACCTCCCCTTCGGCCTGCGCAGGAGACGGAGAAAATCATCGCGGAGCTGAACGAGACGTGGGAGGAGAAGCTGCGGAAAACCGAGGCACTTCGGATGGAGAGGTGGGTGCTGGGATCGGGCCCACCCAGAGGTGGCTGCATCTCAGTGCCGGGCAAGGGGTCCCCGCGTAACCGGCCGCCCTGCCCCAGAGGTGGCCACATCTCAGCGCCGGGTGAGGGGTCACTGGGTAACCAGCCACCCCGCCTCAGAGGTGGCTGCATCTTAGCGCCGGGCGAAGGGTCCCTGGGTAACCAGCCGCCCCACCCCAGAGGTGGCCACATCTCAGCGCCGGGCGAAGGGTCCCTGGGTAACCAGCCGCCCCACCCTAGAGGTGGCCACATCTCAGCGCCGGGCGAGGGGTCCCTGGGTAACCAGCCGCCCCAGAGGTGGCCGCATCTCAGCGCCGGGTGAGGGGTCCCCGGGTAACCAGCCGCCCTGCCCCATAGGTGGTCGCAACTCAGCGCTGGGTGAGGGGTCCCTGTAGCCAGCCGCCCCACCCCAGAGGTGGCCGCATCTCAGTGCCGGGCGAGGCGTCCCTGGGTAACCAGCCGCCCCACCCCAGAGGTGGCTGCGTCTCGGTGGAAGTTTGTCCGTTTGCTTTTGGGGCGCTCAGGGCAGTGACTGGGTCTGTCGCCGCAGGGAGGCGCTCCTGGCCGAGATGGGCGTGGCCGTGCGGGAAGACGGCGGCACGGTGGGGGTCTTCTCCCCGAAAAAGGCAAGTAGCCCGGGACTGGGGCGCTCCTTGGCCAGCGATGGGGCGACCCCGCGGGCCGGCGGCGTCCGTCCTGCCCTGCACTGAGCCCTGCCGAGATCGGGGTCGGGCGCCCCACAGAACCACACACTTCCCCCCTCTGCTCCCTGTAATTACCCCCCTCATCTCTGCACCCAACACCCCTCCATCCCAGAATGCCCCGGGGCAGGGCCCTTCTCCGAGGGGGGGCTGGGCCCCTCCATCCCAGAATGCCCCGGGGCGGGGCCCACAAGCCCCGCCCCCTGCTGACCGGCTCCCCCTCTGCAGACCCCGCACCTGGTGAACCTGAACGAGGACCCGCTCATGTCAGAGTGCCTGCTCTACCACATCAAGGACGGCGTGACCAGGTGCGGGACGGGACAGGGTGCCACGAGGTGCTGTGGGGGGGAGGGCAGGTTTGGGGGGGGGCCTGCCCTGCCCCCCATCTCACCCCCATATCCCCGCAGGGTGGGCCAGGTGGACGTGGACATCAAGCTGACGGGACAGTTCATCAAAGAGCAGCACTGCGTTTTCCGGAGCCGCACCGGCCCCACCGGGGAAGGTAGGGGGCCGGGAATGGGACGCGGCCCCTGCGGGGCGGGGGCGGCAATGTCCACCTCCCCCCTCGAGTCCCAAACCAGCCTCAGGCCCCTCCGGGCTTTGTCTCTCTCTTGGGCAAACCGGACCCCTGGGTCTCTGCGCCCCGTTAGCCGGTCACCGTCACACCTGCCCTGCACCGATCCTGAGACATGGGGGAAACTGAGGCACGGACCCAGGATTCAGAACGTTCCCTCTTCGGCACAATCCCGGGTCCTCTGGGGCAGGCCGCTCCCGGACCTGGGCTTCCCCTTCCCCGGACCCACAAGTGAGGGGTGGGGGGGCGGGCCTGTGGGCGGGGGGGGAGAGTCTCCGGCGGGCCCAGGACCGGGGCAGCGCTGACCCTAACGCTTCTTTCCCCCTCTCTTGTGCTGGCGGGAGGCGACCGAGACGCTGAGCCACCCAGGTATGGATCGCTGGTGCCCCCCGCACCCCGCCGCCGGTGTCTGTGGATCGTCCCCCCTGCATCCCCAACCCAACAGCCAGCCCCACGGCGCAGGGCAATCATGGGCCGAGTCTCTACCCACAGACTGCGCCTCTCCATCCGTCCCACCCCCGGCACTCACCCTCACTCCACCCCTCCCCATGTGACTGGGACCCACACCCCACGGGCACGTCTCACGGGGGCTCCCCTCTCCCCACAGCCATCGTCACGCTGGAGCCATGCGAGGGGGCTGAGACCTACCTCAACGGCAAGCAGGTGACGGAGCCGCTGGTCCTGAGGTCAGGTAGGGGCAGCTCCTCGGACGCCTGGGTTCTCTCCCCGGCGCTGGGAGGGGAGTGGGGGCTGGTGGGTTAGAGCAGTGGGGGTCGGAGCCAGGACTCCTGGGTTCTCTCCCTGGCTGTGGGAGGGGAGTGGGAGCTGGTGGATTAGAGCTGGGGGGCTGGGAGCCAGGACTCCTGGGTTCTCTCCCCGGCTCTGGGAGGGGAGTGGGGGCTGGGAGGCTGGAGGAGGCAGCAGGACTCCTGGGTCCTATCCCTGCATCTGCCCCGCCCGCTCAGGTAACCGCATCGTGATGGGCAAGAACCACGTTTTCCGCTTCAACCACCCGGAGCAGACGCGGCTGGAACGCGAGCGCAGCGCCCCGGCCGAGCCCCCGCCCGAGCCCGTCGACTGGAACTTCGCCCAGCGCGAGCTGCTGGAGGAGCAGGGCATCGACATCAAGCTGGAGATGGAGAAGAGGTGGGGGCCCGGGCCCCCCAGCTCCCAGGGCGGGAACGCCGGAGATACCCCAGGGCATTCTGGGACTGGGGCGTCCCCCTGTCCTGTCCTGCCCTACCCCAGGGCATTCTGGGACTGGGGCGTCCCCCTGCCCCAGGGGATTGTGGGATAGGAGGGGTTTTGGGGCAGGGGGATTGTCCCCAGGTGGGGGTCGAGGGGGCTGCCCCAGTCTCACAGCGTCTCCCACCCCCCAGGCTCCAGGACCTGGAGAACCAGTATCGGCGGGAGAAGGAGGAGGCCGATCTGCTCCTGGAGCAGCAGCGGCTGGTAAGGGGGTGTGCGCGGGGGGGCAGAGCTGGGGTGCGGTGATTGGGCTGGACAGGCTGGGGGGGGTCTCTCACTGCCCCCCCCCCCCCCCCCCCCCCCCCCGCACGTGGGCACAGACAAGCACTTGTGGGCCGGTCAGGGGCGTGAGACTAGAACACGGGGTGCAGAGCCGGGATTGGGGTGCCGGCCGGTGGTGCTAATCCAGTTCTCCGTTCCCCCTGGACTCGGACAGCAGGGACGACTCAGATAAGTGCAAGAGGTACTCGTGCGAGGAGGGGCTGGGAGGGTGGTGCAGGGCTAGGGAGAGGGTTGCGGAGCCAGGAGGTGGGTGCCGGCCGGCGGTACTGACCCTGTCTCTCCCCCTCCCCCCCCCCCCCCCCCGGACTCGGACAGCCCGGACGCCGGGGGCACGCACGCGTGCGAGGGGCACTCGTGCGAGGAGGGGCTGGGAGGGTGGTGCAGGGCTAGGGAGGGGGCTGCGGAGCTGGGAGGGGGGTGCCGGCCGGCGAAGCTGACCCTGTATCTTCCCCCGCTCCCCCCGGCAGTACGCGGACTCGGACAGCGGGGACGACTCGGACAAGCGCTGGTGCGAGGGGCGCTGGTGCGAGGAGGGGCTGGGAGGGTGATGCGGGGCCAGGGAGGGGGCTGCGGAGCTGGGAGGGGGGTGCCGGCTGGCGAAGCTGACCCTGTATCTTCCCCCCCTTCCCCCCGGCAGTACGCGGACTCGGACAGCGGGGACGACTCGGACAAGCGCTCGTGCGAGGAGAGCTGGCGGCTCATCTCCTCGCTGCGGGAGAAGCTGCCCGCCACCAAGGTGCAGAGCATCGTGAAGCGCTGCGGCCTGCCCAGCAGCGGCAAGCGGCGGGAGCCGCTCCGGGTCTACCAGATCCCCCAGCGCCGGCGCCTGGGCAAGGACCCGCGCTGGGTCACCCTGGCCGACCTGAAGATGCAGGCCGTGAAGGAGATCTGCTACGAGGTGGCGCTGAATGACTTCCGGCACGCCCGGCAGGAGATCGAGGCCATGAGCATCGTGAAGATGAAGGAGCTGTGCCGGCTCTACGGGAAGCGCGACCCCAACGAGAAGGAGAGCTGGCGGGCCGTGGCCAGGGACGTCTGGGACACCGTGGGGGTGGGCGAGGAGCGGGGTGAGGGGGAGCCGGGGGCCCCCAGCCCGGCCGTGGACGACCTGCGGGCCCACATCGACAAGCTGACCGACATCTTGCAGGAGGTCAAGATCCAGAACAACATGAAGGATGAGGAGATCCGGGCCCTGCGCCACCGTGTGGTCAAGATGGAGAGAGTCATCCCCATCTCCCAGGTGAGTGGAGAACCCAGGCGTCCGGGCTCCTGCCCCCCCCCGCTCTGACCCACCAGCCCCCACCCCCCTCCCAGAGCCAAGGAGAGAACCCAGGCGTCCGGGCTTTGCCATGTACTTGCCACTTCTCACCAGCAGGTGGAGCCCAAGCACCACGTCTGTCTACTGCATCCGTCCACCTTGGGTCTAGTTTCAGACCAGTTTGGACGAGCAGGGGGCTGCGGGTCGGGAGTGAGGGGCACCGGCAGAGTGGGGGGGCTGCGGGTCGGGAGTGAGGGGCACCGGTCTGGGCCCGCATTGTGTCAGGCGCTGTGCAAACACCGTGCAGCAGTACCGTATCCCAAGGGACAGGCCCAGGCCCCTGCCCAGCAGTGGAAGGGACTCGGGACCAGGCTCCCAGCCCCCCCTGCTCTGACTCACCAGCCCCTGCCCCCCTCCCAGAGCCGGGGAGAGAACCCAGGAGTCCTGGCTCCCAGCCCCCCAATCCAGAGGTGGAACCCAGGCATCCTGCCCCCTAACACCTGCTCCGTGTGCCAGCAGGAGGACGGGGCGGACGAGGACCTGGCGTACGACTGGAGCTCCCGGCTGTTCGCGGCAGGGCTGGCGGACGAGGCGGGGTCCCAGGACCAGGCGGGGAGCCAGGACTCCCTGTGCACCCGGGAGGAGCCGGAGCGGAGCTCCGAGCGTGTGTGCCGGCTGATGGAGCAGGACCCGGCCTTCCGGCGCGGCCGTCTCCGTTGGCTGAAGCAGGAGCAGGCCCGGCTCCAGAGCCTCCAGCAGCAGCAGCTCGGCAAGTGCCTCCGCCGCCAGCCCCACGCCCCTGGCAAGTTCGTGCCCCCCCAGGACTGCAAGCTGCGTTTCCCTTTTAAGAGCAGCCCCCACCACCGCTACTCCTGGGGCCCCAACACCGCCTTCATGGTGGCTGGGGGCGAGGAGCCGGGGCCGGAGGGCGACGGCCCAGGGCAGGAGCCGTCCCCGGGGTCGCCCCGGCACCGCCGGCCCTACAGCCCCGGCGGCCCCCAGCACAAACACTGCAGCCGGCAGCCCCACCGGCGCAACTCGCTGGACGGGGGGAGCCGGGTGAAGCCATCCTGCCCAGGCGCGCCGGAGCACTTCCAGTCCCGCAAGCACAACTATTACCCGCAGCAGCACCTGCCTTACCCGCAGCACCGCCCGTGCCCCCGCCCGCCCTATGCCGCCCCGCCCCGCATGCGCCGCCAGCGCTCGGCCCCTGACCTGCAGGAGCAGGAGACCCCGGTGTAGCCGCCGGCCTGACCGCCTCTGCCGTGGAGGATCATGGGGGGGGGGGAATTAGAGGCAGCGGCCAAGCTGTGGAGGATCATGGGAAAGTGAGGTGAGCCGCAGAGAATTGTGGAAAAGCCAGGGGGCGTGGGCGCTGCTGTGGAGGATCATGGGACATTAGGGTGAGCCACATTGGATCATGGGGAAATCAGGGAGTGGAGGATCATGGGAAATTGGAGCAAGCCACGTTGGATGATGGGAAAATTGCAGCGTGAAGGATCATGGGAAATTGGGGCGAGTCACAGAGGATCGTGGGAAAACCAGGGCGGGGGGTGGTGACTGCGGAGCTGCAGAGGTTCTTGGGACATTAGGGTGAGCCACGTTGGAACATGGGAAAATTGCAGAGCAGAGGATCATGGGAAATTGGGGCGAGCCCCACAGGATTGCGGGAAAATCAGCAAGTGGAGGATCAGGGGAAATTGGGGTGAGCTGCAGAGGATCGTGGGAAAACCAGGGTAATGGGTGTGACTGTGGAGCTGCAGAGGATCATGGGAAAGGGGGGTGAGCTGCAAAGGATTGTGGGAAAACCAGGGCGGGGGGGTGACTGTGGAGTGGCAGAGGATCATGGGAAAGTGGGGTGAGCCATGTGGGCTCATGGGAAGATGGCAGAGGGGAGGATCATGGGAAATCAGGGTGAACCGCAGAGGATCATGGGGAAAATCGGGCTGTAGTGACTTGAGGTGGGAGAAAGGGCGGCGCTGCAGGGCGTGATGGGAAATGGAGCCCGGAGCCAAGTCGCAGAGGATTGTGGGAAATCAGCTCCCATTCTGGGGGCGGGTGGGAAACTCCCCCGGGAGCCATCCGGCTGGGCCCCAAGCTCCACGAATGTGGGCCCTGTGCCCCCTAGGGTCTCTGGGTGGGGGGAAGGGCAAGGGGACCCCAGCCCGGGGGGTGCTTCGCCCTCTCGGGCCCTGCTCCCCCACGGACAATCTGGTTGATTGTAACCCCCCCTTCCCGGTCACACCAAAACGGGTGCTGGCCCCGGCCCCCCTACCCCATACAGCTGCTACTGGAGGGGGCTGCGGGGTATGGGGCTCCCCTCCCAAGCCAGAAGATTGAGGGGCCAGATGTGGGGCTGCGGGGGGAGCCAGGACTCCTGGGTTCTGTACCCTGGGGGGGGGGCTGTGCCTAGATGTGACTCTGAAGAGACAGTTCCTGCAGGCGTCTGGTCCGGAGCCCTCAACTGGGGTGGGGGGGCTTCACAGCAGTCCCCCAATCCTGGGCCCCATCTTTGGGGTCCCCCCTCCCCCTGGACAAGTTGTGGCCTGTGTGTGTGGTGTGTTGTTTGTGCATGCTGCCCCCCCCCCAAGTCCGTTCTCGGTGGTTGGATTTATTCTTTTGGGGGAGGGGCAGGCCCAGGAATTATATTGTTTTCCCCCCCGCCTCGTATTAAACGTGTAAACTGCCTCTGTGTGTCTCGAACCCGTGTCCTCTAGGGGGGGGCAGGACCGGGCTAGTAGGGGCTGTGGGTCAGGAGTGAGGGGCACCGGCAGAGCTGGGGGGGCTGCGGGTCGGGAGGGAGGGGCACTGACAGAGCTGGGGGGGGCAGGGCTGGGCTGGCAGGGGCCTTGGGGCGGGAGTGAGGGGCACCAGCAGGGCTGGGGGGGGCGGGGAGCTCTGCCCCCTCTCCTGTCTCGGTTTCCCTGCCTCTGCTCTCACTTCTTCCCCACACTGTGGGCAGAGCTCCCCCCGCAGGCTGCCCGGGGTCACGGCTCCGTGCCCAGGGGCAGTTTGTGTTCTGGCCGGGCCCAGCCGCGCTCGCCGTGGGGCCGGGAGGGTGGTGGGTGGGCAGGAAAGGGGGCATTCGCTGCCAGTGACTCAGCCCCTCGAGCCGTTGTGCCAGCCAGAGCTGGGGCGGGGCCTGGGGAACTCTCTGGCACCAGGCCCGGCGGGAAGCTGCGGCCAGCTCTGGGGTGCAGCGTGGCACCTGGGGAGAGCGCCCCCCCTGCTGAGCCCCCCACTCCCTGCAGTACAGGACCCCTAGGCTGCCCCCTCTCCTCCGCCACTCCCCATGGGACTGGGACCCCCTAGTGCCACATTGGGGGGGGCAGAGCCGGGACCTCCACCCCCCCCCAAAGCTAACATCCTCTGTGTCATAGCCCCCACCACGTCCACCCCCATGCCCCCTTCCTGCTCCCAGCCCCCCACTAACCTTCCTGCCCCATAGCCCCCATCCCATTAGCCCAGCCCCCCCAGCTTTGGAGCACACAGCAGTTGCCGAGCATTAGGGTCCTGGGGTCCCTGCAGCTGTGGGGGGGGGAGGGGGGACCCCAGAACTGTACCACTTTGGGGGGGCCTTCCCCTGCCCCAGGGGAAATTTCCCCAGCTCCAGCTTCCCCC